ATCGCGGAAGCGATTGGACAATTATCGGGGAACGTAGATGGTAGAGTTTGGTCGTTTTATCCGGTGCACGTTGCTCCTAAGTGTCTACTTCCTTTGCGTGAATCGACCGATTGGCCGGGTTCGTGCTCGCACGGTCGACTTCTCCCATACGCTGGCAATTTTCGCGATCTCTCGTGTAATCTTGTAAGCAGAATGCCATAAAGAAGGGAGCAGTAGAGCAACGCGACGCGGCGCGGCACGAAGAATGCCGTTCGAGTCGCGTGCAATTGGTAAATTGAGCTAAGAAAAATAAAAATCAGCTCGGCTAGTTGAGTTTCTTGAAAGGACTGTTTGCAAGGCACTGTAGTTAGTGGCAGGTAAATCAGCAAAATCGAGACAAAAGAAACGTACGAGTTGGATCGGTGAGATTCGCTTAGCTTGCCGAGTTATAATTATCGCGCACGGTGCGCCTCGATATAACGCTCCATCGGCTCTAATGACTCGTACGTTCTTAATTAAGCTCGAAGGCGAATCGATCCTTCTTCGTTTCGAATCGAGGCTCGGGTCCGCGATACGTTCGCGCAGTTTCGCGCGACTTACTTTCACCCGATGGAAACGAGCAACGTGTAATCGATTGCGAAATACCCTCGGTTCTCTCCGCATCGATAGCGCGCCTCTATTTCCACCAGCTTGATACTCGAACGAACAAAACGTATACCTACACGTTGCACCCGCTTCGTGCAGAATTATCGCGCGAATAGCACGCCACCTTTCATGGGAAATTTCGTGTCTTCGCGGATTAACTACCGCCAATCTATTTTAAATGCCTGTCCCGATATTTATAAATGTCACAGCCGAGAGTGATTTATAAGCTTCCGTTCGTGTTCGAGGATAAAAAATTTTCGAAATTCAAGATGAAAACATGGAGCGACGTTGAAGAAATTTAATTATTCTCCGTTCTGTCGACTGGTTCGTAGTTTCTTAGGGAACGAGAGGGAGTAGAGAAGGGACGTTCTAAATTGAAAGGGCTGTTTTTAAATTCGTACCAGCCACCGTGACAGAGAACTCGTGGAGCATCGGAATCCTTGGAAAATAAATCTAACCACCGTGCAGCCGTTGTCTCTCGTCCTCGCTCACGATCTCCTTAAATTCATCGAAAATAGAATTTCTCTCGAGGACTTGTTGTTTGCAGCCCGTCTCTCACGATATCGAGCGACGATGAAAGGAAAAGGTTGGAAGAGAAAAATACCGGGTTCAACCAAGATATAATAATTTCGGCGAACTTTCCTCCCCTACCTTCTGCCGTCCATTTCGTTCCATATAATTTTTCCCTTCGTCCCCGTGTCTACCAGTCTATTCTTTGTTGCGTTTACGAGTCTCCTCGGATCCGAAGTAAAATCCCTGCTCACCCTGTTGGATCCATCCCTCCCGCGTTTCTTCCACCGAAACGAGTGCAGCCGTGAAATAAATCCGTATATTCCGGAGGGTCTTAAATTCAACCGGAAATAGAATTTGTCCCGAGGCGGTCACGGAAGCCAATGGCGCGAGCAAAGGAGCAAAGAAACTCGAGAAGAGAGGAGAAATGGAGAAAGAGAGAGAGAGAAAAAGAAGCGGGCATCCGAGGGAATCCGTAAGGTTGTGCGAACCACTTTGAAAGTTGTAGGACGTAGGAGGCGAAGGAGGCGAAATAGGAAGCAGGAGGCTTCCACGTGCCGACTTTCCTTTCGAAACATCATCGCGAACGAAGAGAAACGCGAAGGAAAAGCAGGGAAGGGGAATTTAATTTTCTCGCAGGAAAAGGAAAACAAACCCTTGCTGATTTACGATCAGGATCGAGATGTTAAAATATTCGCGCTGTATTTTACGAGGGTACCGCGCGATGCAACGATCCTGCTTTCGACGAAACGTTTCGGAGGTTCGAAAGAAAATGTGCCTGGTAGAGGGAACGGGGTGTTTCGGGTTGGATTAAAATTTTAAATATCGGTGTTGCATCTCGTCCGCTTAAGCCTGGCAAGGTTCAAAGGACGTTTTATAATGCTGTCGGTGTAGACGGCGAGTGAAAAAGAAGAAGTGCTCGTTAGAGGTAGCGGCGAACGTTGCGCGGTCTTGGTTGCACCTGTTCGAGTACTATTAGAGACGGCTTAAAATTTTTCACGAGCCTCTCGAGGCCTGGCTCCTATGGTTGCCGAAATCTGCAATTTCGCGGGATCCATCGTAAGCAGGTACTTGGGAAAGAAAGTCTACGTTGGGAAAGAATAGAAAAAGAGCGAGGCCTTTGCACGCTGAAGAAGGTGGCCAACCACCTCCTGAGTGGACGACCTGCTACCAGACGATCCTTCTCATCGTGTTTACATCTGCTTCGAAGGAAGCAAAAGTAACGAGAAGAAACGAGAGGAAAAAATAAAATGGGAAATCGTGGCTTATCAAAGGAAGACTAGATACCTACTCCCTCTCCACACTTCTGTCAGGCATCTCTCCTCGAGCGGTCTTCACTTTGTCTCTTTCCTTCTCTCGAGCGAGTGAGAGAGAGAGAGAGACGCGAGGCTGTTTTCGGCAATTGCTACTGAGTCTTGTCAAAAACTTGAAAGAGAGAGGCTGGTGAAAAGAGGCACTACGGATTTCTAGCTTGGCCGAGCCACGGAGTAGGAGTAGGAGGAGTAGGAGGAGTAGGTGGAGGTGGAGGTTGAACGAGAAGGACGAAACGAAGAGGGTGAGAAGAGGAGGGGGGGAGGAGGACATCTTAAATTTTTGACGAGACCACTCTAGAGCAATGGCAACGGAAGAAGGCAAGCACCGTCCGCGTAGACGTAGGAGGCGCTGCACAGTTACCAGCAGCGTTTCACTGAAGTCTGCAATTTCGCGGATGCATCTTGGCTCTGGTCTGGCTAGGGCAAGAGAACGCGAGAGGGAAGGAGAGGAAGGTCTTTGCCCGCTTTAGAAGAACTCCTAAAGCGCGCCTTCCACCTCCATCTCCCTCCTCGGTCCACCTTCCCACTCTACTACTATATTTTGGTACTCTAGAATTTCGTACTTCCTCCACAGCCCTCTGTACTCGGCCCTTTCCTCCATCTCCTCCTCTTCCAACCCTCGTCCCTCTTTCTTCGTCTTCTCGTTCCTGCCCTTTCTTACACTTTCATCGCCTCCTCTTCTCTTCCGTTCTTTTCTCCTTTTCCTCCATTCTTCCGAACGTCCCTTCTCTTCGTCTTTCCCTTCTTCGTATCTTTTCGTGGAAGAATAGCAAGAAGGCCGAGGGAGCAGACTCTGCGGCTTAGCAGAGCAAAAGAGACCGACCTAGAGTTTGGTCGAACGAAGACGGTGGCAAGGTGCTTTTCTCTCCGTCTCCCTTATTCCCTCTTTCTTCATCCCCTTCGCTCACTCTCTCTTTATCGCTCGCACGCGTTCCATCTCGCGTTCTATGTGTGCCCGAGAGCAGGATAGGCTGAAGGCGAAAGAGAGACGGATAAACGCATGGTATTGATCCCGAAACCCCTCGCTCCTCATCCCATTCCATCTACTACCCCTTCCACTACAACCCCAAACTTGCGTTCACTCTCTCCCTCTCTTCCTCTTCACCCTTTTCTTCTTGCATTTCGCATTTCTCCCTTTTAGACTCTGCTAGGATGACTGGGTTCGACTACTAGCGCGAATTTCACCGAGCTTACACCCCGTGTATGCACCCGTGTGCGATGCGAGTCGACCTTGAACTTTAAGTTACACCTATCAGCCATGCTTTTGTCATTCGCAGACGTCTCTCGCATCCTTGTTTCTTCCATCGATCTCCAACCTTTTATCTTTACACCGTTCGAACAACTATCTGAGAGAATACTGAGAGAAGGATACGTCCAACAGTGGTGAAACGGGTAAATGTGTACTGGTCTCGGAGTGATGGATAGTCATCGAGAAAATGGGTAGATAGCGGTCTCTGGATAGGATAGACCTTTACGATATTTGAACACGCAGTCGTACGTCTGTCTCGTATCGCGTCATTTGGCACGCTACAAGGCATATCCTCGGATACGATGATCCCCGGGGTCATTCGACTCGACTGGGTGCAGGTGCCAAACGATCGTCGATCCTGCTTCTTCGGATGGTCTCGATCGTTGTCCGAGGGCAATATTCGGTGCTCGATACGGAAAACGTTTGATTGCCCTCGCCGCGGAGGGAGAAGGTTCGGTCACGTTTACCAGAAAAGAAGCTCGTTTCCACTCGATGAATCTCGGTATACGCGAGGTCTCTCGCTTCTATCGTCCAGGGGTAAGAGTTTATTCGACTCGCTTCGACGGAAGCAGAGGGGTGGTAGACTACTTCCACCGGTCCGAGGAAAGTAAAGCACTCGGTAAAGCCGAGCAAAAGCGTCTCCAAAGTTTCCCGTTTGCCCTTAACTCGATCTCGAAGCTTTGCCCGTCGTTCCTAACCTTCGACATCCGATACTACGTACTTGTATGCGTTGAAACGCGTCCGCTCCTCTTATCTTTTCCGCATCGATCGGATATTTTACCGTTACCTTTAACCCCCTGTGTATCGTCGAACGCGTTACAACATTGCCCGCTTTTAAACTTGTACTTTCTCGACTATACGTTATCCCGGTGCGATATGTGTGTGTGCAGGTACGGTGGAAAAAGCGGCAAAGTACGGTGATCGTTCGAAAGCAGGCTTGATAAATTCAAAAAAGTTTCGTACGGACCGCTTAAATCGTGGTCGAAAGTTTAGCAACAAAGCGTCCGGATAGAGGGAGGATGGGAAAGGAGGAAACAGGACACGACGCTAGTTGAAACGTCTCGAAGCACGAAGGAGCGGAGCGGAGGGTAAAAAGCAGCGGCCCCGTTGTTTCCATTTAGGGATGTCATTAGAGGCGGGCTCGGTATCCGCGCGAAAAGAGATGGAAATAGAGTCGCCGGTCTATTCGGTCGGTTGAGGTCAGGCAAAAAAGGAGGGTGTGGTAACAGGGGTAGAAAGGAAGCGAATAGGGGAAGGATATTTCGCGGATTTTAATTAATGCGGTTCATCTTTGTTCCTTTCAGAGCAGGCAGCCCGTGGCGGAGTGGAGCGCGCGAGTCGCGTCTGCGAGAGATTCAGGCAGGCGTCGACGGAGGCGCGAGAGGAAGCGGCAAAGGTGAAAAGGAGAGAAGAGAAAAAGAGGATCGCGAGGAGGGAAGAGTAGTAGGAGGAAATGCGACGAATCTCGGCTCGTCATTAAGAGAGTGGCAACCCTTTGTGGGCGAAAACGACGAGGGAAAATCGAACGGGTTTTCTGGCTGTTGTACAGCAGCCGAGTTGTACGGCTTCCGGTTGCAACATCGACGTAGGACAACGACACAGACATCGAGACGGATAGATGCGGCCAAGCGTCGCGTTTTTCGTACGGCAAGTGTGGAGGAAGCCAGAGGCTGATCGCGACCAGATCAACGACGAGCTTTTAATCGGCCTATAATCGATTTTCATGGCATAAGAGGTATCGGTAGGCGCGATCGAGCACGGAACAAGGGGAGAGTATATATAACGGGTGAATAGAAGTTGGTGTGCTGGTGGTGGTGGAGTTTATCGAGGCGAGGGGAGGCGAGAAGAAGGGTAGAAAACGCGGTTGGGCTGCAGGGTGCATCTGGAAGGGTTGCACGACCTGGAGCGGCAGCAGGAGGAAGAGGAAGTGGCTGGAGAAGCGGGAGGTGGAGGGGCAACAGGAGGAGGAGGAGGAGGAGGAGAGGGTGGTGGCTACGAGGGTGGTTGTTGCACGTCGTGGTCGCGTGACGTGCGGAAAGAGCAGACGAACCGTGGAGGAGGCATGCGGAGGAGAGAGTGACGACGCTGCCGGTGCGCTGCAGCCTCGCACAGATCGTGAGAGGACCGGCGGCCCCACGGTGGGGCTGCGATAAGAATGGCCCCCTTCAATATGGCGGGCGTAGCAGGCCTTCTAGCCACCTGCGCCGCCGCTGCTGCTTCCGCTGCCCACCTTCTGCCGTTGCTGCTGTTGCTGATCTACCCGCGAGGGACTCACGCGGAACAAGGTAACCTCTTTACGTCCTCTTCTATCCCTTTACAGCTTCACTTCGACTCTGCGCGAGTCGAACAACGTTTCTTGAATCGTCCTGTACACGGTGCACTTTGTTCTACGCGAGTATCATAAACCGGATCGATGCTCGAGAATGCGATTGCCACTTTCTTGCCTGTATAGGTACGTACCAGCTGGGCTGGCTAGCTGGTTGGACGCGTCCGTCGATTAAGTCGTACGCTCACCACCGCTCCTATCCGTCTTGCTATCTCGAATGATTTCGCTGGAAAGCCTTTCTCGATACGACACGCTAGCCTTTCCGCTCGTTCCCTCGACGACATAATTGTTGCCTTCTGCGAGAACCACCAGATACGCGGCGAGGATTCTTATTCGGACCGGTGCGAGGTCGATCGAGAACAGATACCACTACCGTCGATCGTTTGCTCGTAAATAACTTAATTAACGCTGCACCGGAGGCTAATAGGAATGCCATTTATCCAAGTCAACGTTTGCTACTCCCCCCGAGACAATCGTCGCTCGAGCCGAATCGTTATTTCGCGCGATAACCCGATATCGTCGCGTATCGTCGGGATTAGCCCGGCTTTCCGTATGTTTACCGACTCGCGGGAATCGATACGCATCGATATGCGCGTTGCGTTTCATCGCAAGATGCAGGGGAATTAACCCCTTGCGAGGGAAGTTGTTCGACGTTGCCGGAAGACTAGGTAATAGAAGCGTCGAACGTACGGGACTTGATCGGTATTCTCCTGGCCCGTCGAGCAGATATTTACCGAGAACTCGATCCGACCTACTCCCTCGAATATTTACTCGTCCCGGGGAAAACTGGCGCAAAGAATATCTTCCGCGCTTAGTAGTTTCTGAGATCTCGAGGAAGTGTCGCGGTTCAAAGGAGACGCGTTCCAATTATTTTTTACGGAGTATCGTGATCTAGAGTCGGGAGAGAAAATTTATTCGACCAGTGAGAACAGAGGGCTTTTTAGAAAGCCCGGTTTGCTCGAAGAGCATCGGGGTAAGCTATCCGGAACGTTTTCCATATTAATGCCGAAGAAAAAAGTTGGCGCCTCGGGCTGTTCGATGGCTCCACTCTCCGCGCCCCTTCGTCTCTCTCTACGTCGACGGAAATAACGATAATTTCGTAATGTGGGCCAATCTTCCGAATTGCGGGATCGTTCGGAAGGTGGTGTGCCGGTAGTTTGAGCCGCGGCGCGGCATTAAAAGGGGATCATTCCGACGCGGTGCGGTCGGACAGGAAGGAAGGAAGGAAGAGGCGATGAAGAAGGTGGGCTAGAGGGACGGCTCTCCGAAATTGACCGGCAAACTCGGCAGTGCCTGTTTACTCTACGTGAGCCGATTTCTAGACGAGAGGCCAAGAGGCTGCGTTTGTTGGTGCCTTTTTTTCCATGCGAGATGCGTTCCTCGCGATATTGGCCGTTACGGCCGGATCTCGTTTTCCTCGTAGATTCTCATCACGAACGCGACGTTACCATTTTCGAAAAAGCAAGCGAAGCTATTTCGTCAAATTTTAATGTAAATCTATCGTCGTTTTTACGCGTCTAGAATATTCAGGATAAACTGGTATAAGAGTACGCACTGTCAAAGAATTAAAAAGTGCTTATATGTTTAACATTTGCAAAGTATATTTTATTTTATTTTATGATTATGAATCTTCGTACCCTTATACCATCTTATTCTACTTTTAGGCAACCTAAAACTCTATTCTCTTCTCTTCTACTCCGATTGATTGTGTGTAGCGCAGAGTCGCGGCAAATTCTTGGTTCACGATCCTTTGGGAGTTCCCTCTGTACGTAACGCGTTTAATGGAACTTGCCAAGGATACGCGTTCCCAGTGGACCGTGTCGGCGCAACGGAGACGGCTAACTTCGTTTCCTTCGACTTGCACGAAACCCGAGCTTCTCGTTATCCTTGCCTATTCGATATCTCCACTTTGCGTCTTGCTCTCAGCTTCTCTACCGTTATATCTCTGAATTTCATTCTTCCAACAGAGCCCTGAGAGGTCGGCTACTCGTATTACGGTATCCGTTCCTTCCTTCCTTCGTAAACACCGATTTTTCTCCAGGATAAAGGGCAGCCCGCAAAGCGGATTCGCGATCGCAAGACCGTTCTCAAAGAATCACGAGGTCTGAGCGTTTCCGTTCAGATTCGAATCGATATCAATTTTTAACGATGCCCCGGCTAATTCGGATCCTCTCTGCTTTCTTCCATCGAATCGGACAGGCTCCTCCGGGATTCGTACGAACGGCACAGAACGCGGTGAATGAAATTCTATTACCTTCTCGAGCTACCGAAAGCTGCACGGTTCGTTCGTTCGTTACGCGTACTCGCTTAGAACTCGATTACTTTGCGCGTTTCCACCCTCTCGAGAGGCTGTCCTTTCGATTTCCCTTTAACCGCAGACCGTAACGCGGACCAAACTGACAGATCCTCTGATACCATTCCCGCTCACGCGTTCCGTTCGATCCTCGTCGAATCAAAGAGGAGCCGACCAATTGAAATCCAAACTTCGTGACAATTTTTCGCTTTCGAACAACGGACCTCCCACGCGAACGTGCGAACGCAATTTCTCCCAGGTACGATGAGTTTTCTCGAGTTGTGGGAACGCAACGGGTGAAACGGTTCGTGGCGGTAGGTAGAGAAGAGAAAAGCGAATCGAATGGAATGGGAGTCGCGGTGTGTCGCGGTCAGGGGTCCGATGAACGCAAAGGCCGCGATCGCGAGGTAAGCGAAGCGAAGCAGAAGCCGGAGCAGCAGCAACGGCAGGCAAGAGGAGAAGTCTGCGGGAGCAGGTCGAGCCAGGGAGGCAGTCCTCTCTCGGACAAACTCGATTGCCTCCACGAAAAGGCAGAAAGACTCGTTCGAGTTGTGCCGCTCGCTCGGAGGGCCTCTTTCTCTCGATTCCCCTCCGTTCGACTCGACTCGACTCGACTCGACTCGACTCAGCTCGCCGTGAACGTGTATATCCTCGTTTCTCTGTTATTCCTCCTCGACGGGGCCACGGTGCGAGCAAGAGAGCCGGCAACGCCGCAGGAATGCCCGGCCAGCCCACCTCGTGCATACCTGTACAGCCTACTACTTCGGTCCAGGTTGCGGCCGTACCAAGCCTGGCAGCATCCTATCCAGCTGACAAGGACGGACTGAAACTTGCCCCCTGCCAGTCGTGCGACAAAGAGCCGGACAACCGGCGGATACGTTCGTACGAGAAGGAAAGGAAACGGGGACCAGCAAGAGGCAGCAAAAGCCTCTCTCTCTGTGCTGCGTGTACTGCTCGTCGTCTTGCTGGTCCCTCTTTCGAGAGAGAAAGACGCGTTTGCGTGCGCTCCGCTGTCTCTTCTCACGGGAGAAGGTGGTCGCGCGTACGTACGTGTGCCCGTTTGCGAGTTCGTGTCCTTTTGTACGGGTCTATGGGTGCGCGATGCCCGCGGATCCCAGCCATCCGAGAGGAACGGAGAGGAGACCGAACGAACGGTTTCGCCAGGTGTGTGTGCGCGCGCGCGCGCGCGCGAGTATCAGCGAGGAAAAGATTATACAGGGACGAATGTAGGCTACTCTCATTGACCGAGCTGCAGAGGAGCACGGGCTCGACTGGGAGACGAGACGAGATGAGAGAGGAATCTCGAGACGATCGAGACGCGGTCGTTCGCGAGGAAACCGCCGGTCGACCGACCGACCGACTGGCTGGTTGGCTCCGTTCGTTTTGACGCCATGACGCGATCCACGATTAACTCGAACGTCCGCAGGAATTTTCGAAACGGTACCGCAACCGTGTACAGTTACCTTAATCCCGGGGGATCCAATCGTTTCGTTCGCAACTGTCTCTCCTGCCGTTTCCACGCGTTCCGCTTTTCAAACTCGCTTCCGTTCTCGCGTCATTTCTCTTCGTTGCCTCTGTGATCCGTCGAATCGATTTAAATTTTCGATATCCGTCTCACCGGACCGGCTGGGCAATATCTATCCTCGGCTATCGCATCGGGTCACAAAGGTGCGGTATAACGGAGGTGGGATTAAAAATCAATATTTCAGCTGAAAAACTCTTCGCCCCGGTACGTCCGATGCATCGGACATAACCGCGTCCTTTGTATTTAATGCCAATCTTACTCGAATTCTGGGGCAATAGCGATCACTTTCCGCCGCAAGTGCCGCAATCGTCCCGTCGATAAAACCGAGTCGTCCTATCGATGGCGGTCTCTTTGACAAAAACGGAATCATCTCTGACGCAATTCGATTCACTGGAAACTCGGTTGCTGGTTGATAAAAGCTGCGGCGATTTGCTCTTTATCATCGGACCACAGTCATCTACAGAGAATGTCTCCGGGGGAGATACCTACGCCATTCGCGATTTCGTGGTACATGGATATTTAGTTGCGGAAGGGCAACGGGCAGGTACGCGGGGCTGTTGGAAAAGGAGCGGTTCTGCCTAGGCGTGTGCGTAACCCGGCGCAAAACGAGCATCGCGCGAGACGAAACGCGATACGCACGCACCGGGAACACGAGTGAGCATAAATTTTAATCGCCGAGAAAAATGTGGGGCGCGAGGAACGGAGAGAGCTGGAGGCTGGATAAGGAAAGGAGGAGACAGGTATAGGAGATATATAGAGAGGTTAGGTATGCCGGCGAGTAAGACGCGTCGAATAGCGGAGCCTTTGGATACGGCGACGAGAAACGAGAAACGATGCAAAGGTAGCCCCGTATTACGCGTTTCTAGCTTTCCAAGTTCTTTTAACCGCCAGAATTTGCATGATCTCGAAGCTGCTGAAACAGCATTCGTTTCCGTTCTTCGGCGAGGATTCAACCCTTTGCGGTCGAATGTCGCATTTCTATTTACTAGGTCGAATATCGCTGCAAAGCCGACAAAAAATAATTTCGTTTCATTTTGTAAGCTTAAAATGAGGAAAAAGAAGATGTGCTTCGGTACATGATATCGCTTTACGCAAAAAAATCTATTCGACCCGGGGAGAAATACACTTGAAAGAATCCTCG